CCTTGCGCAGGAATATCCGCCCTAGTGCTTCTTTCCTGGAAACTCGTATCACAGCTTCCCAGGAACACGCCTGCCCTGCATCTGGTTTGGACCGTCTTGATTCCCACCCTGAGGTGTTTCTCTCCCTCAGACTGGTGGAGATTCTCTAATCATCCACAAAAGCATTAAAACTCAACTCAGTTTATTTATATCTTCTTCCCGGGGATGGAAAGGAGACTTCCCTGATGATTGGGATCGTTAGAAATTCCCCTGGGAGACGTGGACACATTATGGTCTTCCTGTGTCTTAATATGGATTTACCAGCAGCCCCGGGGAGCCATGTGTTTCTATGCACAGTTCCTGTTCTAGAAGGGTAACTACCTGCAGTGTTTACAGTGTACAGGCCCTTTGGAAATGGTCTCAAGTGACTTTAAATAAATAGAAGTGAGTTAGAGGCAGTTTCGCTGAAGCATGTTATTTATTCTGGGTAGGCTCCCTGGGGAAGGCGGAAATGATGCTATGTTGACTTCCCTCCTCACAAGGAGAAAGTTTTCTGGGGAGTCTTGGTGAAGGGTAGGGGAAGGGGTGAGGAGGGCGGGACAGAGAAGGGCTTCTTTGGCCAGCGGGGGTTTGTTACTGTCGGGAAACCAGGTTGGGGATAGAGATGCGCTTTTACAAACATCCCAAGATCTGCAATTGAAATTTAGGGATGGTTACTTAGGAACATCGGGATGATGTGGAATATTAAAGTGAAGAGACACTCAGATATTTCAAGCAGAGTGAAAGAAAAAATATTCCACTCTTTGCTTTATTGTAAGGAGGGCTTCTTAACTTGGGCTTTGGGGTTTGGCCTGGGAGGGAGGCCATCTTTGAATTCTTTGAAAATGTAGGCAAAATGTTGTTCATGTGAGCACACATGCATTTTTCTGGGGAGAACATTCTTAGCCTTCATCACACAAAGGAATCTGTAAGAAACCATCTTGCTCTTCTCTCATCCCCTCAGGAGCTGCCGCTTTTATATTCCCTTCCAGGGAATTTTTATATTCCCTTATATCCTCTTCCAGCCTTGCTGTCTTTGTTTCTTTTTTTTTTTTTTAACCTGAGCTGTTTTTCAAAGAGGATTAAAAGAGAAAGATGTACTTTATCTAAAGCACTAGGCTTCTGAATTTGTGAAGAAGACAATACGTGTCTCTTCTCCTCTTTCCCTTCAGACACTGTTCCCATGACTTTCCTAGCTTTCCAGATTATGTGCCTGGACCTTTCCTGGAAAATGGTGCCCTCTGGAGTCAGTCAGCTCATTACTGCCCCTCCTTCCTGGGCTGTTTTCCAAGAAGGCTGAGAGAATTTTACATGGAGCCAAGGTGATTGGCATTGATATTTCCCACAGTCTGGAAGGCTCTCAGTCTGTAAGAGATTGCTATCAACCTTATTTCCAGAAGAAAAATTGTTTTCTTTTCCTATTTTACTGGCCTATTTTTTAGTGAGAAATGAAGACTAAACCAAATACAGTCAGAGACTCATAGAACTGAGAGACCATCATTTCCAACTTCCAACTCAGTACGATAATTATTCATTCATTCATTCAATAAACTTTCATTTAGAGTCTACTCTGTGCTGAGTGTGGAGGATACAATGATGGAAAAGACAAAGTATGAAAAAGTTACTCATGATCCATTAAAAGGGACAGCTAAGGAGTTTTAAAAATTGCTTAGATGCTGTAATGTAGGTACATTCAGGGTGATGTGGGACCGGAGATCCTTTCCTTTTTGGATGGATTTCAGGTGGACTGTCGTCCAGCGTTGCCTGGACAGTTTTGGTTACCCAAGCACCTGTCCCAGTTTTTAAATATCAATTCTTTCTTTGACTGAGCTGTAATTGCCTCTTGGTTACCAGTATATTGAATATAAATACCCAAAAGGTCAAGCTGGTGTGCTAATTGCATGAATTGAGCTGAAAATACTTTTCCTCTCTCAAAGGAAATATACTTCCTTCCATTTCTCTCCTTGAGACAAGCAGTCATTTTGGCCTGTCTTTTGATTTCCTATGTTTGATAGTAATATAGACCCAAAAAATATTCCACTCTTCTCTTTACTAAGGAGAACAGTAATGCATGTGTAAAGATAAATGATAGCTTCCAGTTGGGAACACAAAAGGATTTACAGGGACTATGGCAAATCATGAACAATGCCTACTCTAAATGAGTGCCCAAATAATCTATCCAGGCTGGCCCAGTGTTGCCAGTTCTTCTGACATTTCAAGAGAAGCCAGAAATAAGATTTTTTTTTTAAGTGTGAAATCTGACTTTTAGATGTTGGCATATTAAACACATAACAGCTAATCAAAGTAAGTTCACAGGCTAGACCTGGCCCTAGGGCAGCCTATTTGCCACATCTGAGTAGACAATACTCTTAGTAACTCCAAAGAGGAAACTTCCCCTTTGGGGGTTACTCAGAACAAATATGTTCCTTCAGTATTTCATTCATTCATTCTTCCAGCCTTGTACTTATGCCAATATTTACTGAGTGCGTACTATGAGCCAAGCACTGTGCTGAGCACTGGGTATATAGTGGAAAATATGATAAAGACCCTGTCCCCCAAAGAATTTGCTCTTATTTTCATCTTTCATCTTCTCTCTGCTGAGCCTTTTACCATAAACTTGAGCCTTCGAGAATGGCTGTTTCCTCTTGTCATCACCTGATTTTAAGTGAATAGCTTAGTTGGTCTGGAAGACTTAGCCTGAAGAAGTGTGAAACAGCATCAGTTACCTGAGTTACCCTGAGGGAACTGAGTCTAAATTCTGTTTTCTCTGAGGACAGAGACCTTGGTCATGTCCTTTTCTCCAGGGTTTTTCTGATTTTTGAAGCCCTCCCACCACACACGGCCCCTCCTGATAGGGCGTGTGGAGGTTTTAGTTGCTCCTCCCAGTAGTCCAGTCCTCTGCCCTCCCTTCCTTATTTCCTCTGGGTGGGCCATAGAGCAACTGGGTTATTTCACACCACAGCCCAGTCTGGATCAAGTCTCACTTCAGGGCAGATCCTACCCAACATTTCGATTTTCTAGCCTTTGGTGGGAAAAGGTTTACTTCAAATTATTCCAGTGGGAATGAAAATTGAGTGGACAATGAGCTCTCTTTCCTATTCCAATTAGATTGATTTGTCATACTATAGTGTAGGATGTTCAAAATCTATAGGTTATAAGTTATGATATATCAGGTATTTAGAATTAGCATCTATTATCACCAAATTACAAATCCACCATAATTATTTTGAAAATGGAGTGGTCAACAAGATCTCTTTTCTGTTCCAGGTAGACTGATCTGTCAGAGTATAACTCGGGCTGTTTAAAATTCTGTAGATTGTAAGTTATGTAAGTAATCAGATATTGGGAATTCTGTAAGGTCTAAACCAACATGGCAGCCAGTAACCACATGTGACTATTGAACTCTTGAAACGTGGCTAGTCCAAATTGAAATGTGTTGTAAGTGTAAAACATACTGGATTTTGAAGACTTTGAACAAAAACAAAAGAATATAAAATATCTCAATGATTTTTGATATTGATTACAGGATGAAATGATAATATTTTGGACATATTGGCTTAATTAAAACATATTATTGGGGCCAGCCCAGTGGTGTAGTGGTTAAGTTCATGCGCTCTGCTTCAGCAGCCCAGGGTTCACAGGTTCAGATCCCAGGCATGGACATACCCACGGCTTATCAAGCCACACTGAGGCAGGCGTCCCACAAATAAAGTGGAGGAAGATGGGCACGGGTGTTAGCTCAGGGCCAATCTTCCTCAGCAAAAAGAGGGGGATGGGCAACAGATGTTAGCTCAGGGCTAATCTTCCTCACAGTATATATATTTAATTATATATATATAGTTAAAATTAATTTCACTTGTCTATTTTTCCTTTTTTTTAGCATTTAAAATTACATATATGGCATGCATTATATTTCTGTTGTATGGTGCCAGTCTAGACTTTCTTTTTCTCAGTTGATTTACCAAACAAGAGGTATTCACATAACAGAAGCAAGTCACAGCACAAGGATGAAGGCTGGACTAGTGTTTTGGTAAAATGCTTTAGTGTGTAGACATTAATAGATAACATCTGTTAGGTTGTATGGCCCTCCTCTGACCATGCTCTCTACATGTGCATTTTCCCCTACGACAACATTCATTCTGTTGGTAATGTTATGACTTCTTAGTAATTTTAAGGCAAACTTCAGAAGTCTCTTTTGTCTGCATTGCTAGCTCAAGAAATTTTTTAAGAGATTAAATAATATGTTCCTTTTCTTTCCTTTTTTTTGGGAGGGGATTCTTTTTTACTTTAACTATAATGATCTTATAATTCAGGGTTTCAGATGAATATAGGAATTTCTGTAAGAGGGTTTTTATTAAAAATTCTGAAAGTTGTGTTTTTGCTCATCCTATTTATTTCAGCTGCAACAATGAATAAGCTATCTCCTGCCCCAAAGCGTCCCTTGTAAAGTAATAACTAATTGTGCTTCCAGATGCATAGTTGAGGAGGTTGGTTCCTAGTGGCACTGTGGTGAGAAAAAACCATTTATGCCTCATTTTTCCCAACTCTGGATATGATCACAAGGGAGGTCATCTCTAGCGGGTGACACTCTCACCTCCAGCCCTGCAGGACTCGCCTTTCGACCATCATCTGCTCAAGAAGAGCCCGGAAGTGAGAGAGTAAAGTATTTCGAGTTTGGATTGCCTTGCATATGAAGTGAGGAGAAAAAACTGGTTCAGCCTCTGTCTTCCTGTTTTTTCCATGACACCAAAATTTCTCGAAATATAATTACTGTATTTGCAGTGATTTCTGCACAATTCTGGAATACAGAAAAATGATGCATACTCAAATTTATAGAATAAACGAATATTGGCAATAATTTTTAACTAATCAATCGAATAGCTTGTCTTTATAAATGATAGAGTTTTCTCTTGGAATTTTAACAATATTAAAATCTCTTTATAGCTAATGCAGATTCATTACTTTGGTGGGTTTTTTCCCTGGCTAAACATATTTTTGACAGGCACGAACCCATTCTATTTCCATGCAGCAAATATAATTTCATACTGCCTCGTGGCTCTTGGGCTGATTTATACCTGTGACAAAGCTGTCTTCAAGAACCGTGGACTCACTTTTGTTACATATTGCTTTTTGCTGTGCACTCTATTCACACTGAGGAACTCAACGAAATAATGGATGAAAAAAGAAGTACAAGCTAAATTGATTTTTTTCTCCCTGCTTGATTCAAATAACAACTGGTGAACAGGAATAAAAAAGCCACTAAAATATTTTTTTTGTCTTTATAAATAATATATTATATATCTGCTTGCAATTTCCCTTTGTGATCACAGTTGCCTTTATTGAACATCCAGGATGAACAGGGTATTTTTTAAATTATTAGACATCATTATCATTAGAAATGTGAATAAAGACCATAGTCTTTTACTGCAAAAAATTGATATCCAAGGTTTTAAGCAGCAAGCATCATTTGAGGTGCCTACTATCAAGCTGACTCATTATTCTTGTTCTAAATTTACACTTTACCTTTTCCTCACCCTGCCTTTTTATTCATGGTATTTATGATGCAGAACTGTGAATGTTCTGAGAGGACCATAAAAAAGTTAGCAAGGCATTCTTCAAGTTAGAATGACAGGCTATGTGACCTAGAAATTATATTGCAAATTATTTCATAAGAGGTCCAGTTATACTGTGGGAACAAAAATAAAGTTATTGATTTATAAGGTAGAGATATTCTGGCTCTACAACCCTCTCGGTGATGCACCGAATTGGAATTGTCTGGCCTCCTGTGCCCATCACAATAACCATAGGCAGTCTACTCTAAGCCAACTGGAATCCTATACATCTCAGGAGGGACAAAGACTTCCCCAGGGGCACATGGGCATGACATTGTTTAGGGAATCGGTTCCCAGAGCCTTAACTGCCATCCTCACACTCTCCTGAAACTGATTTGCCTGAGAATGTATCCGTGGTCCTGGCACCATGATGATTCTCTTTTCCCTCGTCCCTGTTCACACTGAGTTTTCCTTCTATACAAACCTAAGTCATCATTTTCACACATCCAGAATCCTACTTACAGCTCTGGTGAAAAAACTTGAGGCATGAGCCAAAGGACGATTTGCAGTACTGGGGTCAACCAAACCATCTCTTTCTCCCCATCTCTTGCACAACAGGGTAAAGCATGGCATTAGAAATAGGGTATTTTGCCTGTGTTGGGATGTTCTGAACTCAGAAGGGAGATGATTCTCATGGGAATGGGTATCACAGGTTTATCTGAATGTAGAACAAGAAACCAGACTTAGTGACAAAAAGCACATCTGATTTGCAATTGGCTTGATAATGAAGACTGGCTTTTTCCATTATGCTGGCAGATATCGTTCATAACCTGAATGACTTAAATCTCCACATTTTGATGAAAATAGTTAAAACATAATATTTGTATTACATACAAATATATAAATATATAATACAAATATTATATTTTAAAATATTTTATTTATTTCTAAAGTATTATTTTGGCAAAAGTGTAGTATAAGTATTTCCATTTTACAATTCATTCTAAGTTTGTTGGACTAAACAGGAACCTCTAAGCAAAAGAGTAACATATAGAAGAAAAAGCTTTGATAAAGGTAAAGCCATATAGACTACAGTAGTCCCCCCTTATTCACGGGGGATACATTCCAAGGCCCCCAGTGGATGCCTGAAATCGTGGATGGTACCGAACCCTATATATATTATGTTTTTTCCTATACATACATACCTATAATAAAGTTTAATTTTTAAATTAGTCACAATAAGAGATTAACAACAATAACTAATAATAAAATAGAACAACAATAACAATATAGTGTAATAAAAATTATGTGAATGTGGTCTCTCTCTCAAAATACCTTGTTGTACAAATTTAATGCCTTTTCCATCTTAACTAATCACTTATCACATGCTGTGGCGGTAACTTATGCAGTTTGAGGTGCGACAGCAAAACTAGCACGAATTTCTTTTTCCTTCTTCACAATTTCACAGATAAAAGATTCGTTCTTACCATAGATCTTAGCAACCTCAGCATACGATTTTTTTCTTTCCTTGTTGAAAAGAATTTTCATCTTTTCACTTAAAGGGAGCACTTTACCACTTCTCTTCGGCATATCCGAATTGCCAGCCTCACTACTCTTGTGCTTTGTGGTCATTATTAAGTAAAATAGAGTTGGTTACTTGAACACCAGCAGTGCGATACCATGACAGTTGATCTGATAACTGAGGCAGCTACTAAGTACTATCAGGTAGAATATACAGTGTGGATACCTGGAAGAAGGGATGATTCACATCCTGGGTGGGACAGAGCAGGACAGCATGAGATTTCATCATGCGATTTAGAACAGCCCAAAATTTAAAACTTATGAACTGTTTATTTCTGGAATTTTCCATTTAATATTTTTGGAACAGGTTGACTGGGAGTAACTGAAACCAAAGCAAAACCACGGATAAGAGAGACTACTGTATTTCCCAGAAACTAGGCAAATGAATGACTCTAATGACAGAGTTACAAATCATTTTGCAACAGGTGGGTTCCAGTTATTTCCTTTCAACAGAAGAATTGAGTTGTCAGGTGCTACAGCATTGAAAACAGTTTTAAACGATAAATCACTACGTGAATTTTGGCATTCTGAAAGGAGTTCAAAGAACTCATTCCCAATTCTCATATACATGAACAATCTATAAAGAAAAAATTAGGAATATTGTTGATGCTGCCCACTGTTTTGTTCTAGCAATAAATAATATTCACCCACAGATACAAGAACAACAGCCCCCAAAGTGCATTATTACATTTAATATTTAATTATCAAAACTTGTTATGTGTGAGTGTGTATATGTGTGTGTGGTTTGATCAACTCTGTATTAATAACAAAGGTAATGACAAGTTAATGCCAATTAAATTTTGTAACACTTAAAGCCTTACAGCTATGGGAAATTGAAATTGTTAAATTTATATACATATTTATGATGTTGAGAGATGAAGTAATTAATAAGAGATTTTCAAGCATAAATATATTAAAGCAAGCTAAAGTGCTGCGGAAGAAATGGAACAGAAATATTTCTTTCAGGAGAAAAGGAAGAATGTAAAATATCCCAGCTATTAAAGAAGAGCTTCAAGTTCGTGTAAATGAAAGATGATGGGGTTTCACATCAACATGGTATTTAGATTCCACTGGGTACATTTCACATGGTGATATTGAGGTTTCATTTTAAAATGTCAGTTACACAATAAACTGAAAATCCTTTCTATTTAAAATTATGATGCAAATTTGAATATTAACCTAAAAGATGAAAGAGGTTACATAGTTTTTTAAAAATTCTTTTATAAGGCAAAAAAGTAAAGAGCTTCAGCTGAAAACTATAGAATTTCTGACGGTGAGTCATTGGCGGTATGTCACATTGCTTTAAATGCCAGCATTATACTTCTGACAATTTTATTTTAGTCCAGTTGAAAATCCACGTGTAGACTCCCTTGGAGACAATTATTAGGAGAAGGAACAAATAAGTAGGGTGGGTAACCATCTTAATTCAATGCTTGCAGAGAAGGCGTGCACGAAACTGCTGGTAACCTTGGACAGAGTGATTACAAACTGTTAGAGGCAAGTTGGATTATAAGGAAAAGAGAACATTCTATTAGTAAAATAATCTTTTAAAAAAGTTTCAGCAGGCTTTAGTACTAAATGAAAAGAATCCATGGAAACAGGATAAAAGGGGTGAAGGAGACTGGGAGCAGATATTCATTTAGGAAAGGACCTTAGAGACGGCCATTCGCATTCACGAGGTGGGAGAGGAGTAGGAAGAAGGCAAAGAAATTGTTGACGAATTACCCTGGGAAATGAAAAACAAATTTATTTTAAAAAGCAGACTGCAGTTCAGGTTTCTCAGGAGGAAGAGAGAGAAAAAGGAAAAGAGATGTACTTTGTACAAAACATAAGGATAAATTATACTTAAAATAATTAAAGATCGTGCAGGAAAAAAAGGAGTAAAGAGAAATAGCTGCCCTTTGTTGAACTAGGAACAAAAAGTAGACTGTAACTGTTAAAACGAAGGGTGGGAAAATTAAAAAATAAATTAATTAATTAATTTAAAAAACATCTTCTTTTGGTGTTCATGTGGCTTCACTAGAGTATTTCCTCTGCCATATTAATTAGACACTCGACAACTAGTCAATAAATGCAGACTGGGTAGAAGTCATTCTCTAGGTACTGGGAGGGTACATGGACAGGCACAGACTGGTCCCTGCCCATGAGTTGCTTAGAGTCTCACGGGACAGTAAAAGAACATAAAAATAGCTACAAGAACTAGCAGTTTGTTGTGATACAAACCAGAACCTCTGCAGGGAGAGAAACTGATTCCAACTTGGGTAGGCAGGGAAGAATTTATTCATTTACCCATTCTTTCCACAAATATTCATGCACATGTTTTGTACCAGCATGGACTGCACAGTGTGGCAGGAGCCCTGCCCCGCCCACATGTCAGGCCTGGTGATGCAAGGAGGGGCTTCCTGAAAGTGCGATGGCATAGGAAGTTCCCCCAGCTCAGTCCTCCTCTCTGGACGTGGCGGCCTGCAGTTCGAGGCAGAAATCTGTGTTGCCCCTTTGCACGCATTTTTCTTTGACTATGAGTAGACCCAGTCCCTTTTTTATTCCTCAGCATCCCACAATTTAGCATTTCGTTATAATGGAATCATGTCTGCGCCTCTCAGGGTGGCATTCAAGGCTTTTCATACTCTAGCCCCAATTTCTCTTCCAGCTTTGCCTCTCATCATTCACACTTTCATTTACTCCATGCTCTTGTCGCTTTATGTCTCCCCTTCTGGAAACACCCCATCTTGTTTTAGACGCCTGTTCCTATACTCCTCTTGTTTCCTCTGCCTGGAATGCATCTTTCTCTTTCTGGCCTTGAATGCAGGTTTCCTTCACTTCTGCTTCCTGAAGTCCTCCTTGTCTATCCTTAAGTCTCAGTTCACGGGCCAGCTCTTCTACGAAGGCTTCCCAAGTCCTTCAGTCTAAATTACTCCTATTCTTCTGACTTCCTGTGGCAATTATTTCTTCCCTCAATGGCATGTGCAATTGCCTGGTATCATACTTAATACCCTCTTTTGACTCCCCTCCAGAGGCAAACTCCTTGAGGCTGGTTGTATCCTTCCCATTGGC